GAAGAGGCAATCCAAATATTTATTTAGTTTTCCTAAACTTTAAGTCTAAGTTATAGATAGATAAATATGCAATTCAATAGATCTGCCTGCACATTCGATACGTTTAAGTGATCCTATCTCACTTTGATGGAAGGCAAAGCCGTTGGCAAACAGCAAAAGATGGACTACTGAATGCCACTTAGTTCGGCCCACTGCATCCTGTCGATGTCGGGCACACAATGTAAATTATGTAAATAAAATTGTGCAGCATAAACATTCCTCCAGACTGCTATCAACCAGGAGCAAAAAGCGAAAAGCAAGGAGAAGGAGCAGGGAGCAGGGAGCAGGGAGCAGGCAGGTAGGCTTATCGAATCAGATGGCGGGCAAATCAAATTGCTATAAACTAAGTTTAGACATGAAAGATTGTCGCGGAATTGCGGCAGACTGTGCAGGACGGAAGCGTGATTGGGAGCCTTTGGCGAAAATGGGGAAAACCTTTCTATATCCTTTTTTTGTGGCTCTGCTCCTTTTGCGGTTCTCCCTTTGCCACTTACGCGCGACAACATTTACTTAACACCAAGTAACGACAACACCAGGAATAACAAGTGTGTAAACGCATTGAGCTGAAAATTGTATTTAAAATTGAGTTGACTTCACTGGCTTACCGATGAAAAGCGCTCGGGGACTGCGAACGGAACCCAGCGAAATATCAACGTATGCAACAATATTTTGGCCACAGCGCCCAAAGCGAGCATAAAACGGAAGTTTGCAACCCACCCTCGTTATTAAGTGGAAGGAATGGGGAGATTGCATGTTCCGATTCCTTGCATGCATTCCGCTCTGAACTTTATGCAAATGCAATGTTGACACACCCACTCACACATAAAAACCAGTCTGGAAGAAAATCTTTTTTTTTTTTGTGCGAAAATGTTTCTTGCCCTTTGCACCTTATCCAAGTTCGTTAAAATGTTGCTAGATGATTTTCAAAATTTGTGCAATGGAATAGACGCGATGCAAACTTAATAATGTTTAAAAACTCGTTTAATCATTTATGAGAGAGTTTATAGGAAGTACCGATATAGTACGTTGAAGTCATACTTTAAAAAAAAAATAATATCTGCTTAAATGATTTATCAATATTTTTAAATAAAACAAATAATTTAAATTAACGGTTCAAATATCGGACATTTACATTTTTTTTTTAAATTAGTGTTAAAAATTCTTATATTTTCCCCTCTTCGTTTATAGTATTACCTTTTCAAAAAATATAAAAATGTATTTAGATCAAGTACAGTTGTTCAGGATAGTGGACGACTCAAAATCCACCTAAAATACAAAACAAATTGGCAGCCTTTGCCGGGTTTCCCATTCGTAAAATTGGAAAGTGTGTGTTCCATTTATGTCTTTAGTTTTCACAAAGGCATCAAAGGTGAAAAACAGGGTTCTGCCTTAAATGGCAAAGGCTATTTTTTTCGCCCGTCCACCACCACCTCTACTCACTACTCACTACTCACAACTCACCTGTCTGTATATCTCTATTTGCAGCGGATAACACGGCATCGGGCGCCTCGACAGCTGCACACGAAATCTTCTGGCAATTCTGGCCATCGCAGTTGACAAAGCTCCCCATCAACAGGCAGTTGGCGGGGGCGTGGCACTGGATCTGCGGGGGCGGTGGAGCGGCTGCTCTGCTTCTTCTGCTAGGGCCGCTGGGCCATCAAATTATCAACTGCCAATGCACAAAGCCGGTGGCGATGGGCAAGGTGCAACAGCAGCAGCAACACCAACAGCAACACCAACGGCAACAGCAACAGCAACATCCCAGCAGCAGGAACGTCGATGTGACAGCTTCAAAAGCGGCAACATCCGCATCGGGCGTCAAATGCTTTTATAATTGTCAAATGGCTATGACGACGCCAACTCAGAAACGCGGTGATGATGATGATGGTGATGCGAATATTGGCAGCACGAGTGTAACTGCAACAGCAACTGCAACTACTGATGTTGCAGATGTGGCTGCCGCTGCTGGAGAAGAAGGAGTTGCGAGCGGCATTAAGCGGCTGTCAGCGACACTTGTTGGGGGCGTACGGGGTGCAAGGGGCGTGGCCAGTTGGCCGGATCAACGATTATTGATGACTCGGCGGCGGCAAAAGCGGCAAAAGCGACAAAAGTGGCATAAGAAATCGCATTCGATGGCTGTAGATTCGACGATGCAGTCGCGTTGGAGCGCGTGCTGATGCCGAATTGATGATGAAATCCATTTCCGAAAGTAGCTTAAGGTGCTCGCCACCGAGCACAAAAAACGGCCCTTTCTTTCATTTCACCCCCGAATTGTTGAAGGGCATAATTAATATACATTCGAACTCATATTGATTGCATGAGCGCCAGCTGCATAAATCGATCTGGCCGTAGCTCTTAAGTGTTATATGCATAAGGTCAGGGAAAGTGCAGAAAGACGGAGTATTTAATTATTGAAAGTATAGTCGGCAAGTAGATATGGCATCGATGAATAATAACTGAAAGTAAATTAATGTTAAGTCGGGAAAAAATATAACAAATGGTGATACCCTGCATGTTGCAATCACAAACCAATATTTTTGCGTTATTCATTGTGTTGTTACAAAATTGTCCAAAATGGAAGCACTCTGTTGTTTTCTCACTGAATAAAATTTCAATTTACACATTTCTTTTCACTTGTCTTCATTTTTATATTATTAACTTAGATAACGCATATTATCTAAGCATCACAAATTTACTGACAATAAAGAGGTTTTTATAATTTGCTTATCTCTTTTTTGCACTTTAAATAAGTTATTGTTACAGAAAATTAGCTTTAAATTTAATTTCTTACTATTGCAAAACGGTCCCTAACTGTTATTGACAAAACATCACACAATAAATTGAGTAGTAAAGCAAAATCTCTCAATGACGGCAACCTCAATAACCGCTGAAAGAAATACACAAAATGCACAGTTAATTTGTGAACTTGCGAACAGGGTGGAGAACGCATGTGCACAAGACACTGAAACAAAAAATGAATGCCAAATATTTGTCATGTACTGTAAAGCTCTTACGTTGTATGTATATCAAGCATTAAACATATTCACCGAAAGAAATAAAAGAAAGGAGATATAAGAAAATGTGCACAGTGTACAGCAAGCTGAACTTTAGACTGCACTTGAGCTTAGCTTTCGGGTACCGTAGTGCATTTTAAAGTGTGTGTTTTGCAGGTATAAGCATTGTAAACAACTCAAGCAACAGAAATAAATAATGATTTGTTTGCTCTCTTTGGAATTGTGCCACGGCATTAAGTCGATGTGTGTAAATATAAAGATTAAAACATAAATAATATCTAATATGAAATAACATCCAGTGTACAGAAAGGAACTTTTTACGGTTGTGGAAATTATATGCAAAATTAATTATTGAAGCAATCATTTCTCTGTAGAAAACCACGAATACATAGATCAAAACAAAAACAAGAATAGGAAGCATTTGGTTTGAAATCTTATTTCGGCAATATTAAAACTCGAAAAAACAAATGATTATTTACAAATTTTTGGCCAACAAAAATCCAGCGGTAAATAGTTCCTTTACCTTGAAAATAAATCAATGTAATACAATGGGTTATCTAAACTTAAAATGAAGGAAAAAAAATGTAAATTAAACAAAAATATATATATTGTGTTTTCGAAAGGAATAAAATAAATGTTAAGTGCATAAAAAATACATTTAAAATGTTTCAATAAAAAAATAAATGTGTAAATAACAAAGCAAGAAATTTAATTGGTGTAAATGTTGAAAACAGATAATACAAATATATGAACCCATAATATTGATATGCATGAGCCAAGATTTATGTAATCAAATCGTGTTGTGAAAGTTGTCTTCCCTAATTTATGCTCATTATATAATTAAACCATTTAAAGGATATTATAATTTCAATGTTAATTTCAATATGGTTTCAATTATAGTTATAAAATTATAAACTGGAGATATTTAGAAATGTAAAAAATTAGTCTTATGTATATAGAAAAAGGAAAAATAATAATAATTTTGATGTTGCGGAATAAATATTACAAATAATAACCAAGGATATGAAAATAGGCTTAAGAGCAGTGAATGTTTCTAGGTGCTAGGGACAAAGATAAGTCTTAGATTTATAATGAGAATCAAAAACCCAAGCAACTGCGTTATGCATTAAATAAAATATATTCATATCCCCAATAAATAACCGAAAACGTGTAAAGCCAAAATCAATGTAATAATAAGCTCTAAAAAACAAAATAGTGATGTAAAAAGAACGCAGCAAGGAAATAAAGTAACCCCCTATTCAATAAAGAGTAAAAACGCATTGCAGTATTTATTTTAGTAACTGTAGAAAGGGCATTCAAAACATACAGTATGTTGAAAAAACAGAGACTTTTGGGAAAACTAAAATCGAATAACATTTTTGGCTTAAAGGGCAATAAATATTTGTTTCAGTGAGCAAAGTTTTTGAGCTCACTGTAATTATGTACATTTTACGAAAGCGCCACCTGGGGAGCTTACAAAGAAAGCGAGTTCTCCAGCTGAGTTAGAGCTTTATCGCAACGGTTGTTTGTGAACTGGATAATGGAATGTATTCAGATTTAAATACTCGGTCCAGCTTCCTGGTCTAAACATCAGTTGAGACAAGAACATGACAACAAGATTGCTTAAATTTCAAAACACATTCAACAAGCCACCTCAGTGCCTTCTTATTGGAGTCAATTAATAAAGGCGGAAATCTGTGGAACCGTACACAAAAATACATTGATAGTTAGCAAGATGAAAATGACAAGAAAAGTCAAGCCATAGCATTTAAAAACTGTTAAACTTTGAAACATATTTCGTTGTCCAATCTGGACTCTTTACAGAACTAGTTGAATGGTTTTAGGCCACAATTCCCGCTGGTCGCCTTGGAACGTAGAGCTTTTAGATCTGAAGGTCAGTTGGAACAGGGAACTAAAAGCCGAGCTTAGTTTGATAGTCAGCGCGCTTCAATGACGACAACTGCACGGCGCGCTCCACCCATTAATGATATTTAAACTCTAAATAGCTGAAGATAAAATTTAATTAAAATAAAAATAATATTAATATCGAACGCGCGGTGCACGATTTCCTGACAACAATTTAGTTTCGCTTTTCATTCGATTTTCATTACATTTTCCATTTGCGTTTTTCACACACGTGTTATTTTTTTCTGTTACTCGCACTTCGGTAGTGGTTATTTTTTTTGGGTTACATTGAAAAAAGTACATCGACTGCCAGCAGAATCCCCGTTCGAGCCTAAATTTGACCAATTGACGGAAAATTAATTGAGCCCAAAACTAATTAGCAAGCGAATATATTTTTTACGTGAAACGAGCGTGTTATTTGTCAAAATGATTTTACAATTGATTGTGTTTAAGTAAATGAACCAGAGAAATCTATGTGTTTGTGCTACGATCCGAAAAATCCCATATTGCGGTAAGTGGCGTGTTTTTTGGCGGGAATAAAGTCGGTTTCCTTTCGTCTCGTATTTCTCTCCCATTTTTCTGGCGCCAAAATGAATGAAAACGGTTGGCAACATTTTCGACTTAACATGGGAACAGTCACACCGCTGTTAACTGCTTGGAAGCCATGCTGTTAGATTTCTGTTTGTTTTGCGCTCTCTGATCTGGGAATCTCATATTCCGGGAGCGGTTCATTGACCCAGCAACAACAATATTTGGCCGATCTTCTCCTGTCAGCGGCATGCGGAATTCATCCGTTCTACAGTTAGAAATATGGCTGGCTAGTCGAACAGCAGGCAAATCGAACAGCGAAATCGAGAGCCGCGTTCAGTTGCCTTCGAGCCGTACTTAAAAGTGGTAGTCCCCTAGGAATCAGAGAGACATTACTCGCCAACTTTTTATTCTGACACAAGTGCCGATCAACGATTCCCGATCCCCCAACCACGAACCCCGATTAACGACCCGTCGCAATCACACAGCTATATACTGATATATAGATTTACATTGCGCAGATCACACCCTAAATGCCTTTCGTCGAGCGATTTCAACAAATACGTAATTTTGTTATGAACGTCTGCCTCGTCGAGGCCATCCAATTCGTCCAGGACCTTACGCATGCCCTCTGCCTGGATCTCCAGGGCCTGTTCAACCTCAAGTAGAGACCCCGACCCCTGAGTCGCTCCCATCTCGATCTCCCAGCGGTAAGTCACGCCATATTGCTCTTTGGGCGCGCGAAAAGTGAAAGTGCCGGAAAAAATACGGTTCTCTTTCGTCTCCCTTTCTTTTGGGGGCGAGAGAAAGGGGAAAGTGCAAACCTCATGGCAGCAGCACTCCATTTTGAGAGGTTATGTCTAAGGAAGTACTAGAAATATTCGAATTTAAATCAATGCAAAGATTAAACACTTTTAATATCAACATTTGGTTGGTAGCAATATTTTGCATTTAAATTAATAATGTAGTTTTTGGAAAGTTACTTTAAGAAGTTGATTTATTTATTTCAATAATAATACTAACCATTTAGCTACAATTTATCTAGAATAGTAAGTAAATATGCAAATTATTTGAAACGTCTGTTTGGAAACTTCTAGAAAAATGTTTACTGCGGTTAAAGCTCCATATTAAATACTCAAAAAAGTAAAGAACCCAAAATGCTTTTGTCTTCCAACAACAAGAACATACAAATGTCTGCTAAGTAGTGTTATTAAAAATATTACCAAGTCCATATATAACAACTTATTATAATAATATAAAACTTTAATTTAAGATTGTCGTTGTCAAAGAAATTAAAATCACTTTTCAAAATAAATTTAGAATTTATTAAAAGACCTTCTCATTATTTAAAATGCTGAACAGAATAGAAACAATATGATGTAAACTTTACATAATAAAAATATTGCATCAGCATTACGACTACTACAATCATTTGATTTATTGATCACACACAAATATTTTAATATTCTTTTAAGAATTTAACGGTTAAAATTGAAATGAAAGTTATTTAATAATTTTTGAATTATAAAGCACAATGATTGCTGCATTTACTTAGTTTTTCAACTTTGGACATTTCATATTTCATCGCCAGCTCATCTCATCAATCACCCAGATACACAACACTCATTAGCCAACGGCACACGCATCTCTCATCGCTGACCAAAAACGAACCGACATCTAGACGGACATTTTGCTTGGTTTTTAAAACTGAACGACCCTGCGTTACCCACACCTGCCTACATTTGACATATCCTTCAATCCACTCACCAATCCACTGATCCACTGATCCACTGACCCACTGATCCACTCATCCAAACTCCAATCTCCAATCCGCACGATGCTGTCCTGTGCCTCGTTCAACAAACTGATGTATCCCACGGCCGCAGATGTGGCCAAATCGCCGATGGTCGGCTTGGAGGTGGACGGTGGGTCCATGGGCTCCCTGTCCAGTCTTCAGGCCCTTCCCTCCACCACCTCGGCGGGCAGTGGAGCGCCCAGCGAAACCCAGAGCGAGATCTCCTCCGTGGACAGCGATTGGAGTGACATACGCGCCATCGCCATGAAGTTGGGCGTTCAAAACCCAGACGATCTGCACACCGAACGCTTCAAGGTGGATCGGCAGAAGCTGGAGCAGTTGATTAAGGGTATAGCTGGGCCTCTAAATATTTATAGAATTTTGTATTACCTTTTTTTTCTTGTAGCGGACAGCGCCATTGAGGGAATGAATGGAGCCGAGTATTTCTTTCATGACGTAAGTGGAAAAACGATAGTTGCCATAATTTAAAACTAAGTTATTCGTGATGAGAAATGTGTTTTATAACTTTACAACTTATATGGTTATAAAAGGTATGCTTTAGAAACTACTAAATTATTCTAAAAAATTTATCAAAACTCTATAAAGGATGACCAACAAATTTGTTCGAGCCTTTTTCAAGTAATGTCAAACTATTGCTTAATTGCTTTTTTACAACTTAATGGTTTTGTTAAATGCCCCAAATTTTGCAACTGTATATCAATACATAGAATGCCCTGCCTTTTAAGTTTGAAACAAAAAATAATATGTTTTCGATTCACTAGTACTTAAGATATTTACTCCTTGAGCCAAATTTTTAAGTTTATTGATCCATGTCTTTGTTCGGCAATCTGACTATACCACCATAAATTTCAGTGTATAACGCACGTAGTTTTAAGTAGTTGTTAGGACCGTTCGAAAGCTCTGCTGACTTGATATATAAGAAACGCCATATATCCAATAACCATTGTTTTACTAGATCATGAACACGACGGATACGTATGTGAGCTGGCCTTGCAGACTCAAAATTGGTGCCAAGAGCAAGAAGGGTGAGGCTATACTTAGATTGCATTCAATGGAACATAATGTTAATAATACATGTTTTAATTGAAGATCCGCATGTGCGAATTGTGGGCAAGGTGGAGCAAGTGCAGCGGGCCAAGGAGCGCATCCTGAGCAGCCTTGACTCGAGGGTGAGTTTGTGATGCGTACTGATCTAGATCTGATCTACACTAAATTCACACTACATTTTGTGGGCAGGGCACGCGTGTGATCATGAAAATGGACGTCAGCTACACGGATCACTCGTACATCATTGGGCGAGGTGGCAACAACATTAAGCGCATCATGGACGACACCCACACCCACATCCACTTCCCCGACTCGAACCGCTCCAATCCCACGGAGAAATCCAACCAGGTGTCGCTGTGCGGCAGTCTGGAGGGCGTGGAGCGGGCCCGGGCCCTCGTCCGGCTCTCCACCCCCCTCCTCATCTCCTTCGAGATGCCCGTGATGGGACCCAGCAAGCCACAGCCCGACCACGAGACACCCTACATCAAAATGATCGAGACCAAGTTCAATGTGCAGGTGAGATTGGCTTAAATTAAAGTGAAAACCACTTATAAAACTAGAGAAAACTCAAGCTTGATATTTAATCACCTATTTGTTCATACCCAAATTTGTTTTATATGTGACGAAATGGGAAAATATGGTGTCACTGAATTCCCTACAAACTTTAAGCGATTTTCAAAAAGGGTCCAGAATATTTGGGACCCTTCGGATTCAATATGCTGCTTTTTTCGAAATAACATTGCCCGTCCGCTTAACTTTAAATATAAGGATATAGGAATATAATTTTTAGTAAACAAATAATTCTTAATTACTAATTATGTTTGAATAATTAAATTTAATAAATATTAGATAATTGTTACATATTTAAATAGAAATTATTTATAGTATAAATCATTTACATATAAGTTTTGTTATGTTTTGTTGTTATTATGGATGTATCACAAAAGTAACGAGCTTGAAGTTCCTTTTAATGGTTCTTAGCATCGTTTTACAATTTTGCTAATTTAACTTCGAAACCTTTCAGGTCATATTCTCCACACGTCCCAAGCTGCACACCTCTTTGGTTCTGGTCAAAGGATCCGAGAAGGAATCGGCCCAGGTCCGAGATGCCACTCAGCTGCTGATCAACTTCGCCTGCGAGAGCATTGCGGTAGGTTCAAAAAGGATAACCCAAGTTTATGATGCCAAATGTATCACCAATTTCAGAGCCAAATCCTGGTGAATGTCCAGATGGAGATCTCACCGCAGCACCACGAGATCGTGAAGGGCAAGAACAATGTGAACCTGCTGAGCATCATGGAGCGCACTCAGACCAAGATCATATTCCCCGATCTGAGCGACATGAACGTGAAGCCGCTGAAGAAGTCGCAGGTCACGATCAGCGGACGCATCGACGACGTCTACTTGGCGCGACAACAATTGCTTGGCAATTTGCCCGTAGCATTGATATTTGACTTTCCGGACAACCAGAACGATGCCTCCGAGATAATGAGCCTAAACACCAAGTACGGCGTCTACATCACGCTGCGCCAGAAACAACGCCAGAGCACACTGGCCATTGTGGTCAAGGGAGTGGAGAAGTTTATAGGTGAGTTAGCCATTGGTATCCTTTTTAAAATAGATAAACAGATTAAGTTACTACACACTTTGTATAGCTTAGCAATGCCAAAAGAAAATATGAAAGATTTTAAGTTGTTAATAACTCTAGTAAAGTCAGGACAACAAGTTCTGATTTTCGTAATTTAAAACTTTATTATTTTTTTGGTATAATATTTACTAAGTTTGCTAGTATAAGCAATTTTCAAAAAGTATAAATTTTCTAAAACTGAGAGCAAATATGATATACTTTTCAATTTAGGGATTAGTAATTGCGCTCCTGAGAGCAAACAAATACTCTTTGATTTATGCTTGTGGCATTTCTTATTTATCAATTCAATATGGTTTTAATTCTTTTGCTTACAAGTCACATGCAATTTATTGCATTCACCTGGAGCATTTTTAAATGAACATAAATCTAATTCAGGCACAAATATATTGTAGCAATACAAGACGTAAAACAATAAAATCATTTTAAAATAGTTTAAGAAAGATGTCACAGCTTACTTTTAAAGTGTGCATTAGTTGTGGGAATCCAAAAAGAAAATGAAAGATGGAGTTCAATTTTCAGTCTGATTTCATTCTTATCAAAAAAATCAAATTAATATTATAATAAGTAAATTTGTATTAATAGTAATTTATTTATGTATATTTTTTACATTTGCCCATGTTCTAATTCCGAAATTCACATCTTCGTTAGACAAAATCTACGAGGCCCGCCAGGAGATCCTGCGCCTGGCCGCGCCGTTCGTGAAGCCCGAGATCCCCGACTACTACTTCATGCCCAAGGACAAGGAGCTGAACGTGGCCTATCTCACGCAGCTGACGGCCCTGCTGGCGGGCTATGTGGACAGTCCGAAGACTCCGTCTCTGCTGCCGCCCGCCTTGAATGGCCAACTGACGCCCTATGCCAACAACAATCACCTTCTGCTCAACGCCAATGGCCTGGCCACGCCCACCGGGATATGTGCACCCACGCAGAAGTATATGCAGTTGCACAACAGCTTTCAGCAGAGTCAAGGTCGTTCGGTGGTGGGTGGCAGCCAGGTTAGCAGCAACAGTAACTATCTGCAGGTGCCTGGAGCGGTGGTGGCGCCACTGAAGCCGCCGGCTGTCTCACCGCGGAACAGCTGCAGCCAGAACACCAGTGGCTACCAGAGCTTCAGCAGCAGCACCACCTCGCTGGAGCAGTCGTATCCGCCGTATGCCCAGCTGCCGGGAGCCGTGTCCTCCACCTCCTCCACGGTGGGTGGTTCGAATCGGGCACACTACTCGCCGGACTCCACGTACGGCAGTGAGGCAGGTGGTGGCGGCGGCGGAGGAGGCGGTGGTGCGCGACTGGGTCGCCGCCTCAGCGATGGGGTCCTTTTGGGTCTGGGAAACTCCAGCGGCGGAGGAGGATCCGCGGGAGGAGGGGCTCACCTGCTGCCCGGCAGTGCCGAGAGCTACCGCAGTCTGCACTACGACCTTGGAGGCGGTGGCGGATCGTCTAAGCACACCAACCACCGCGCCCTCGACTTCGACATGAAGCGTGCGCTGGGCTACAAGGCCATGGAGCGATCTCCGGTGGCGGGTGAGATGCGCACACCCACGCCCGCCTGGATGGGCATGGGCCTGAGCAGCACCTCGCCCGCTCCCGCCCCCGTCCCGCTGGAAAACGGCGAGAACAGTGGGGGCGGCGGTGGAGGTGGTGTTGGTGGTTGTGGTGGTGCTGGTGGGTGGCGCCTCCCGCCGGGATTGGGCTCCCCGTACGGACTGAGTGCCACCACTGGACTGCTGGACGCCACTCCAGTCAACCGGCGGCTGCAGCTCGCCCAGCACAAGGACATCCAGACTCTGCTCACCAGTTTGGGTCTGGAGCATTACATCAGTGAGTAGATCCCGTCGATTGTGTTCGTTTTTGCCAACTGTGTACTGTGTAAGATGTGATTTATAAAGCTTTTTTATACCTTTTTGACTTTGACTGGAGAGAGTTTTTCATTCCACACACTCAACTTACAGAAATATATCTTACACCATTTTATGGGTCAACTAAATCACCAATAAGTTCTGAATTTGACTATTCAGCCTAAATAGTGCGGTTATTTAGACTACAATTAAAAGGCTTTCCCTTTACTTCTTTCTTGAGTTTAAATTCCAAGAACTAGAAACAAATTCTGAAGTTTTGTAAAATGATTAAGCTAATTTTACTTACTTTTATTTAAAATACGTATTCGTAATGGGAATTTTTCAAAGGTTTATTATTTATTTATATTTTGGATCTTCTGACGGTTTGCAAATGTAGACAAATTTTTCTTAACTTAAAAATTTGTTATCATTTCGTAAATTATTTCAAAAAAATTTTAAAAAATCTTTGGTAGAATCGTGAAGACTGAAGCTGTGTCTCGTGTTTCTCCTTGCAGAAATTTTTGTGCTTAACGAAATCGACCTGGAGGTGTTCACCACGCTGACCGAGGACAACCTGATGGAGCTGGGCATCGCGGCATTTGGAGCTCGCAAGAAGCTGCTGACGGCCATTCACACGCTGCTGGCAAACGAGGCGGTCTGCAGCACAATGCCCAGCAGCAGCTCCTCGCAGAACTCCTCGTCGCCGCGATTCTCCGGCAGTGCGGCCCCCGGCGCTGAGCGCCGACCCTCCAACCAGTGGTGATCCGCCCCTGTCTCTAGGCATCACTACTATCACTTTTTTTTTGCATGCCCATTTATTTGGTAGTCGTATGATAAGGATAATCGGAACGAAAAAAATCTAGAAAAAGATAAGAGAAAGGAGAATAGGTGGCAAACTATCAGCGGCGATGTCTTTCCCGAAAACACAGCCTTGACCTTGACTTATACTCGCATTTGTACTCAAATTCCAAGTAGCAGAGCTGCGCACGGGAAAGTGCCCAGCAGTTTGCCCTTAGGTCGTAGTAGCCTTCGTTTTAAGACCTTAATTTATTTCCAAATTATTTATATTGAAACAGTCTTAAAAAAAATATTGTGAATTATTTATGAAATCTAACTAAACGAAAGCACGTATTGTAAGAAATGAATTTATGTAAATTAACTGAAAAGGAAACAAATAACTTAAAACAGGAAACAACACAATGTATTAAGTGATAAGTAAAACAGTCACGAACAAACATTTGATATGAATAAACTGATGTCTATGAAAAAACAAGAAAGGAAGCTAACTTCGGCAAGCCGAAAATTATTACAAAATATACTATATATGTTTATGTATATGTATTGTTAGTTATAACAAACTATTTGTGTTATATTGTGCATTAGACACAATCGAATTTAAACGGATTTCAGCCTGGCTTTAGCAGTCAGCTAAAAATTGAGGCTAATGTCTTTATTGTCTCCAGTAGTCTGCATAATTTGTATTGCATTTTATTCAGCTTCGGAGTCGTGCCAAGAAAAAACTCCCAAGGCAACAACAAAATCGAATGTGTGTCCTTACACGGAACAGAGTCTAAGGCGCAAAAGGGGCGTGGCTGGGCTAATGAACTGGAAATGTTTTGCTCCAGTTGTCGGTTGTTGCCACCGTGTTGCGGTCATCAGCATAATTGCAAATTTTTACGATTATGACATTTTGGGCGCAAAGTGCTTCAGTCAATGGCAACAACAAATTTCTGCAGTTATCTGAGTCTCAAACAGACGGTCATTTACATCAGTCTATGTTCCACTTAAGTGCCTCAAGTAGGCTTGTGTGGGACTTTTTGGCACGCGATTTGATTTATAATTAAGCTGAATCTAAATCTGGATTTGGAGTCACTGACCAGTCCAAAAGGCGCCTGTTTCGGTCACTGCTGACCATGCGTCAAAGCTGGTCCCATTTCAAGAGTTTCAATAGTTAAATGACCATACATCAAAGCGAAAACTATTTTTTAACATAAATCTTAATACATTCCATATAAGAATTTGTTCAGATATACTGCGTATATTAACCTAAATTAAGTTTCATGAATAAATAAGAAAATAACTGAACAAGCAGTTTCCAAGCAGTAATACTAAGCAGTGGTAGAGGGGAACCATTCAGGGGAAGCAAAGCAGTACAACTGGGGAAACTAAGCAGTTCGAAGGGGAAAGAAGCCGTGCAAGCACTTCTCTCTTAGCAAACCCACCACTAACTTTTCTCTCTCTCCCCTCGCTTTTCCATTCGTGATTTTCCGCAAGAAGAAGAACTTCGGATTTTCCGAACCGACTTCGTGGCCTGTTCGCCAATTGGGAAATCTGTGCACAGGACTCGCATAACGCGAATCCTGCGACTCCTGCTGCAGTTTACATTGCGTTGTCCTTGCGTGAGGACGTGCGTAGATCATCATTTAGTTGTCGGCGCATTACGAACATCGGAGGTTTTAAGGAGCGGAAATAGAAGAAAAAAAAGTTGTAAAAAACGTTAACTGAACTAAAACCGCAGGATTGAACTCTTTGCTTTGGCGTGCGTGTGTGCGATGCAGTTTTTGTGTTTTTGACACAGCATTTACCAAAACAGAAGGCGGAAAATAGGAAAAGGAATCTAGCAAAGGATCTGCCATAGTCCCAAACTGAGTGTGTGTGGGTGAGGCTGTTGCTTCTTCCCCTGTTCCTGTGTTTGTGTGTGTGCGCGCGTGTCAGTGTGTGTTTGTGCAGTCACGTGTTCTAAGGTGATTTTAACGAGTTCCGTGATACGCGAAATGAGATAAGGAACGAGAAAGGAGCAAAAAACGGAGCAGCAAGCGGCTTATACGGACAGAAAAGGAGCAACAACCAAATCCCCGTTCGCCAGGACACACAGGATACTCGCTGGGTGCGCCTTAAAGGATTGGCAGATAAATCATCCGAAAATTGCATAAAATAAAATTGCTTGCCAAATTGTGCGCAGCAAGAACTTAAAAAAAACAAACAAAAATTGTATGCAAATACAAATGATAAATATGGCTAGCGAATAACATTGAAAATATTACAAAAACATTCAGGAAAAAATCACTTTAATAAATATTCTGAAGGTAGGAATGCATTGTACTTTGTTATGGCATTAGTTGACTTTTTAGGATATATTGAAAAAATCTAAATTATTTATAGGCAAAAATTAGAATTTTCAATTCCTTTCCCGTAATAACGAGCAAGAAGCATTTCGACCTAATATTCCGGAAAGACAATTTTCTAACTGAAAATTCAGAAAAACAGGGTTTCAAAAAACTTAAAATATATTTGCTTTGCTGATATATAAACAATTTCTTGGTTTTACTTATACATTTAGTAATTTATTTATGTCCGCATTTGATATACGAAACAACCCAAACACCAACTTAAGACTTTCGGGCTATTCAACAAATCCTATGTGCTTCTGTAATTACATATCGCAATCTTCGACGTTTAATTTTTGATGCACAACTTCGCTGCGCTTGGCAAGCCAATTTCAGATTTCGTAAATTCAGGGGTAACCTTTCACATCGCAGCCAGCGGAAGATAAGCCGGAAGATAGACATGGGGGCGTGGCCTGACTCATCCAAGAGGCAAACAAAACTTGTCAATTGCAAAAGAGCGTGTCTCCGGGACCCCGGGCTCCTCCTTTTCGTAAACATTTGCCATAGTTGCCGGGGAACTAGGCAACAATGTCTTGAGCTGGGCCCTGCTTCTTCAATTTCCCCATTTTTTGTTGATGGAAAATGTCAACTGCCTGGCAGAGTTTTTCTGCCATACTTTCCGGCAACCCACTGACTAGGCAAAAATCGTATTTAGTGGGACAATCAATATCGGATGAGGGGAGGGCAGGCAGGCAGTTGGGCGGCAGTCAAACATTTGTTTGATTGACTGATTGATATGTGAAATGATTTATTGCCACTGGAGGAGCAGGAGTAGGAGGAGGTGGAGGAGGAGGAGGAGAAGGAAAAGTGCAGGAAAGTGTCCACAGGCAGCTGAGTCAAAAAAGTTTCTAAACAGAACGGAAAAGCCTTTAACCAGTCGAGTAGGAACATTTATTTCCCGCTCTATCTCTGTCTTTCTGCATATCCTGCTGGTTTTTCTGTTGGAATTTTCCAGCGCTGTAAAAATCGCTTGGACCAAACTTTTTCGCACGCTTTATGTGAGAATAAAGTAAATAATGAAAGCTATTTAGCACAGCCAAGGGGCGCATTAAGTCGTCGCCAGCCTTTTCGGATTATCCTGCTACCGGCTTTAAAACAACATCAGCACCAAGCCAAACAGAACCACACTGTCAAAAAACAAAAAATAATGCATATAAAACAAGTTTTCAACTTTAAACATTTTTTTTTTAATTTGTGGCTATAGTTTATCAGCTAAATAAAAAGCAATATAGCACACTTTTATGCTTTACAATAGTTCCCAATGAAACGCCTTAGAAATTCATAATTTGAATTAATTATTTTTGAAAATTCTTTGCCATGTTTTAATAAAAGTGTCAACAAATTTATTGACTTAGATAGATGGTGTGAGGTATTCCTTTGGCAGCCCTACTTAATGTATTTTCCTGTGTAATATCAACCGAAGGGGTAAGCTGTGCTCAGCATTTAATGAGCTGTGTCCTCATCTGAGCCTCGGATGACCCGCGGCTCCCGTTCTCCAGTTCGCTGTTCAGCTGGAGAAATTGCAGCCATTTTTTACTGCCACCTGCAACGGTGTCGCATTCTTCTTTTGGCCAGGCATTTCTCTTATAGTCCTGGTCTTTTATTTTCTTCTTTTTTGTTGTTTGGTTTGGTTGCGACTGCTGTGGTTTATGAAAACGAACGCTGCAAGAAGGCAAAACGAAAATTCGGCTAAAAATGCAAAACAAAAGTATAAGCAGGCGTGGGTGTTAATTAGTTTTTGTGCTACTTGAGTGGCTTGAATTTAAGTGTGCGTATTAATTTTCGCCTTTTTGTGTGCACAGATTTATAGGAATATTTGTTTGCCAGTTAACCTAATGATATTTGCTCTCATATGAATACTTGACTTACAAGCTGCTGGCAGAGCTATCGTTTGATTCAATTAGTATGAGAATAACTGAGTTAGTCTTAATTTTTGGCAGGCATTTAATATTTATTGCATAATCGAATTATGCTTATGATGTCATGCTAAACAAGCAAATAACTTATTAATTTATAAGGTTTCTGGGCTTTCTGGGTCTTGAGTTTAATTTTGCGTGTGGTAGAACTGATTTGTCTATTTAGCAAATAACTTTTACGCATTACGGCAACTTGATGAATAATATATTAATGTTTACTTTAAGGTATATGAATATGACTTGCGGTTTTAATATTTAGTTAATTAACACTAGTTGTTCTCAGCATGAAATTGAACTTACTGACCCAATATATCGATTGATTTGAAGATTTTATGTAGTCCAATTTTCTGAAATAGAATTTCAATGCGACTTGAGATGTCCCATCAATTTTAAAGACCAAACGGCAAACGGAAAAGTTTACCAAAACTCCCACTTCTATTTCTTAGCTCTTGTGATATATGGATTGAAAGAGATAGAAACTTGCTAAATTTTCCACCGTTGGTATGCACAACTTTTTATTTGCCAGCATCACAAATCTTTTACCGACTCAAACTTCGCCTCAACTGTTGCGAAAACATGGCGGTACAAAAGACCTGTAGGCGATTGAAAAATATCTGATATGCAAATCCATTGTTGTTATTGGCATGGCCAGTGGTTCTTTGATTTCAAGGATCTGGAGTGGCGCCCTTTTCTGTGCCAGTGTGTGTAATTCAGGGCTTCGTTGCCTACTTCTGGGCGCTAAAGGCGCATCTCAAGTGCAACATTCGCCGAGCCAAGGAAAAGTGCATATCTGTATCTAGCATATTTGTTGTTCGTTTGCGGCTGCGAAAATGTTGTGGCATGTGGAAATTTATTTCATAATCTCTGCAACAAAAATCCCAAAGAGCAACAAAAAAAAAAAAAATGGGGGAAAACTTTTGCATATGAGCGAGCGAATCGGGCTGCGGAACTACGGGTAGCTAAGCATGTAATTTATATCCTTGAATGGCCCCTCTTTGCCCCCCTTCAAAACCCACTTCACTTTCGGGCTTCTCCTGGGTTTTTGGTATCTGCATCTATGCAGTTATTGCCGATGCCCAGGGGCGTGGGCTGAAACTTATAAGGGGTTACTTGGAAGGTCTTTTCTAATGGGTTTACCAAAGTTTGCACAGGAAAATATATCAAAAAGGGCTAGTAGTAGGTCTAATGTATCGTAAATAAATTATATAAAAATTCGAATAAATACATTAAAAAATAAATACATAAATATGGCAGAGAGACCAAATAAAAGCGGTTCTTTGTGTTTGTTCTATGATTTTATAAAAAAAATGTATGGTACATAAATTATAAATAAATATTCCCTAATTAAATGCCATTTGCTGACAGTTGAGATTTCATATGTAAATCTTAATTTTTATTATGCATTTCAAAATTTTCCTAAAAATGAAATGAATACAAATTAGTTTGTAAATTAATGTTGTTTTCTGGTTTTAATTACAAAATACCCGTGTTTCACTCTTAGCTGCCAACTCCGCTCCTGCTCATATTGCAAAATATCCCTTTTTCTGTGGCGGAAGTTTTTGCGAGTTTTCTGGTATTGGGCTGAGCGGTCATAAATTTGTTTCTGCTCCTGTTGTGGTGTCTGGCTTTTCTGCTGCTGCATTGCTATTGCTCCACTTCGGTGCAATTTTATTTGACCACATAAATTGTTTACCAATTTTCACAAGTTCTGTGCAACTCCATTGCCATCGCTGTGTATGTGCGCCTTTGGCCTTTGAAGGATAAAAGCGGTTTAATCGGTCTCTTCCTCTCAGCAAACCTATTTTGATTTAGTTCTCGGTGCCCAGCAATCTATCTTAGTGGGTTAAAAATGTCTATCCTTGCCTTTGTATTGCGGGTTCGTTGTTGTTGTTGTTGTTGTTTTGTAATCGAGCAATCTGTGAAATGCTACAGAATCAACAGCAGCAGATGTCACAGAAATTGGGTAGGATGACTGGATATTTATTGCAATAATAGTTTTGCAAATTGACCAGGAAGAAGAGAGCTGGACAATCTATGGAATAGATGACCCTTCAAGGATTTATAAACTTAATTCTTGATATTAAAAATTCAAAATTGTAACTGCAACTTAGAGAGTTATTTGAGAATGTCTGAGAAATAATAATTGATTTTTGAGCAATGCATTGTTTAAGCAATAAAGCGTTTGTCAAGTAAAACGAACATCACAAATAAAATTGTAAATCTGTATTGCAAATGTTGGCAGAGAAAAATGTAAATAACTGAAAAAATTGTGAGGCAACTTAAATAAATAAAATAATGTCTTACTCTTACCAAAATAAAGCTAACTTACGTTTTTAAGCATTACTTTAAGCTTAACTTTAACTATTTTAAATTTAGTCAAAGAACGCAAAATCCTGTTTACAAGTCCGGAAAATTCGCCAAGTTCATTCGGACTCCAGCTTGCACTGGTTTCCAGCTGTTTGCAAAAGAGGGATTTAAGAATCTGTTTCTTTCACTTCGTTACTTAGATCTGGTCCAGATGCAATTAACAAAAGGAACATGGGTTTAAGGGCAACCGATTTTTATAATATCCTTTTTTTTCGGTTTTCTTGTCTGCAAAAAAAAAAAATGGGGAGTAGAAGTAGAATGTCTGGGAGTGCAGTTTGCGGCTTATCGCATTGGGAACAGACTTGGCCCTTTTGTTTGTCGCACTCCGTCGTTTAAGTTTGTCAATGCATAAATTAAAAAGTTGAAAGTTTTTACCCGATTCTCCGCCTTTGTGGGTTAGTTTTGTGCTGACCTTAATGAAGCCAAAGCAATTAAGCCGAGGGTCTGCAAAGTTAATGGAGTGTACACTGAATGGCCATTTGGTGGAGTCTTTGGGTAATGCGAGCTGCACTGGGAATCCGCATACGAGATGTTCTTGGCCTGGCTTTTTTGGCCCGATGCTGTAATACAATTTGCTGCCATAAAAGATTACAACTTGTTAAAGCTCCTCCCATCGAGTCCTTCGGCTGCTCTTTCAAGTCGACCAGGGGATTATTATAATCCGATTTTCAACTTTAAATGTGCTCCGAAAAAGAAGGGCAAGAATTTATGGAAAAATGTTATGCTCACACAGTCAAGGAAGGAGCATTTGATGTGCAGTTAGGCAACAATGTGTTTTTCGGCCACATCCCCATCCAAATCCCCCCATCCCCATCTCGTTAATGGCAAACTTTTCACTCAGACTTTGGCTATGTGTGTGGGCGAGGAAAATCGCTGCAGTTTTCTTTATAGTTATTACTTTATACAGTTTCCCCTTGTTCTTTGCCGGCTGATTACAAAATTGCTTTCAATACTTTGGGCCAAGTAGTGACTATAAGAAACTCACTTTGCAACACCTGCCTCGAGGGAACCAGTCGGCCCATTTGGGTGCATTGGCCAACGAGAGTTACGTGTTGCAGCCAAAGTTTAACGCATTAAGAACCGATGTTGTTGTCTGCCACAGTTTCGGCATTTTGTGGCTTGGCTGCGTAGGTGTTCTTAAGAATATTTCTGTGGCTTTGCTTAAGTTAGACTTTATAATGTTTATATTTTGAACAAAAAAGCGCGGTGCATTGTTTTCATATTGCTTTAACTTTATCCAACTTAATATATATATGTTATATATACATGTAATATATATATTTTATATAAATAAAGTTAAATTTTAGAAAATAAAATATTTCTTCGGCAAAGCATTTTGCTTTAGTTTCACATCTTATGCTTTAGTGAAAAATAAAGCATATGCTCAAACATTATTCAACAAATGTTAAATAAAAGACTAATAAACGCCTTTTTTCAAATTTCTCGGCGTTTATAAAATTAAACCCTTCTCTTCTTTATTTCAGTACCGAAACAATAAAATTGCAACATGCGGTTTCTACAAACTGTCTATCAAACGGCTTTAACCACCATACTCCTGGCAATCACATTGGGTAAGTAAATTAAATTCCACAAAAAGTAAAATTATAAATTCCATCAATAAATGGAAAATAGCTCGTTAATATTAAACAGTGACATGGTAATTATTAAATTAAAAATTATGCCAATCATTACGGAGCGCTGAATTCAATCACGAATAAAATTAACCAGAGCTAAACAAAATATGAAATTAATAAATTTAATTGATGGGAAACATCGAAATGCAATTATAATTGAGGGAAACTAAGAAACAATATTTGTGTATATTCACATTTGTTGTTTTAATGTTTTTCGCCCTAAGTGTTAATTAGTTTAATTAAATTTGATGTTATTGAATGCAGCTGAACACAAATTTAACACACTTAATGATTGAAAATCATTACAAAAAATTTCGTTAAATCATATTTTATGGCATTAATAACAGGTTAGCCACGAAATAGATAGAATAAATGGGAAAATAAAGCCTCTTAAACCAAACCAATACTCAATTAAACAAGCAACGGAAATAAAATTTACCACACATTTTATTTGCATGAGTAAAAAAATTGACAGGATTATTAAATTCAAATTTAAAGCAACTCTAAAAGTGCTCATAAATTTAATGATGTTAGTAAATCGAGACTTGGTTTACCAACACATAGTTTAAAAATGTAATTTAAAGTGTGACCACATTCGAGTCTCAATTCTTTAAGCTAATAACTCATGCTGTCGGCGTCTTTTGGCATACGAACAAACACACTATATAGGATTATATCTGGCCGCGCTTTACACACACTTCAAATTTTTATTGCCTCGTCTTTGCGGCTTTCGCCGCCGTTGGAGGTCTCATTTTATTTACCATCGCACATAAATTTCGAAAACCGCACGCACAGCCAAACGTACGTACACATAAATATTTCAGCATCTGCTGGGAGGAGGCTTCCAAACTGATTTATTCAATAAATCACACAAGTTGCTGCCACCGCCGCCACTCACCTGGTCTTAACCCTTGGACGTGCGTCGCAGATTCAAGTTTTACCTGCATCTTCGGCCCAGTCAATCGGTTCCAGAGCAGGAGCAGACTGCCAGGACACATGTCAATAGAGGCGGGAATATATCACACAAATGCATTTGCCTTTGCTTTTGCCTTTGCTTTTACCTATTGCCCCCGAGTCGTAGACGCTCTCTATGGGTAAAGCGGGATCTGACAGTTGATTTCTTTCCTATATATTTATATATATATATTATACATCTATAGCCCACTCCATCAACAGAAACTTAAATGACGGCGAATACATCAAACGACATTTAAGCCTTTCGCGTGACTGAAATTTTCGACTCTTTGTCACTCGGAGCGATATGGATTTGGGCCTGTTATCCTTTTCCACAGCTCCGTTCGCCCCAGCTCCTTTTTGGCTCACGACATCTGTAGGTGTATGCCAGGATGAGGACGAGGACGAGGACTCTTGATAAATGCCTCCAACGTGTCTGGCATTTGTTTCGTGTGCCTACCTTTTTCGGGCTTTATTTAGAGTGCGGCCCACTACTACTGTGTAGGCTGTGGATGCTGTGACAAGTGACTGTCGTGCCGAGCTTTCTCTATTTTCCTAAAGGACTACACACAAAATAACATCAGCTTAAAGTTGTAAAAATATATGATTACAATAACGTAAAGCACACAAAAGTGGAAAGTAGTTAGCAAATCTGAATATTTATTTTCCATGATATGATAGTCTTGAGTTAACTAACCCCTTAATAAAACTTTTATTGGCTTGAATCTTAAAGCACATAATATATTATAAAAACCTTGGGTTTTTAATTATACTAAGGCTTTTTAAGCTGTATAAAAAGCAAAAGATAAGTAGGTTAATATTTTATTTTTACGAAAACAAATAAATACTTTTAAAACAGGGACACTCATTGACAAAGTTATCCATAATATTATATTTACTTAAATTTTAAAACAGGGAATCATTTTGATGAAGTTTATTATTTTAATTTTTACGTAAAACAGTAATGCTTGCAAAACAAATATGTAATTTAGTATCTAAAGAAAGTTCTCTGTTTTATAATAAGAATAGTTTGTTAACCGCTAGAGGTTATTGACCAGCATTTTGTTAATTTTAAAGTTGGCTCGAATGCCTTCTTGGAATCTGCCATAAATAAAGCCCCATTGAACCGAGATTCAGTGCGATATGCACACAAGCCTTACATTGAAAGTACAGTCCGCCCACTTGTTTTTCGGGGTAATCGTAATCCTTGGATGGGGCGGGTCGCACTTTAGCGATGCAAAAAGGACGAAGGACAAAATGTTACCCACACCTGGGCGTCTGCGTTTCGGCATACGTTCAATGTCGCACAAAAACGTTTATTAACCTGCCATTATCGAGCCGGGCCCAAGTGCACTCGGTGTAGACGACGACATTGTACTCCGGGGACCTTTCCAGGACACCCAGAGCACCCACAATTCACGGAGCCCGATTAAAATCTCCAACACGCACAACAATGAAGGGAAACAGCAAAATGTTTTTGTTACCCCATTTGGCTGGTTGAGGATTGGGTTCTCTGAGCACCTGGCTTAGTACACAAGTGGCTAATTAGTCTGGGGCTACGTAAATCGGCACTTGATTTACTTTTAATAACCTCATGGCGAGAGTGCTTGCAAATTTGTGACAGTATTATTTCCATTCAGATTGTTTCAAAACTTGTGTTAATGTCTTAATGTATGGGGAAATTGTCATTTATTTGGCCTTTTCTGGCCTTGAGGTTTGTCGGTGGGAAAATTAGTGGCAATCGAGCACAATAGGCTGTAATTTGTATCAGCCGCAAATGTGATTTAAATTGCAAGAGGCGGGAAGGTCAGCTAAATGGAAAGGTGTGGCTTTCCCAAAGCTTATTGATTTTGTACCATTAAGCTCAATCAGCGGTTAAGTGTCTTGACAATTTGTCAAGGGAAAAATATGTTGAACATATATGTATGTTTATGATTGAATAAAATAAAGATTTAAGTTTTCATTAATTTTAATTGCCCTTTGTCTTCCTTTTGATTTATACTCCGGTGTTTCCCGCTGTGACAACCAATTTCACAAGATCATAAACTAGTTTCTAATTCAATAAATCACTCTAAGCAATTAGCAACTTCCCTTGGTAGTTTTATTTTCCTCAATGAAAAGAGACAACGAACCCGGCAGCACCAACAAACAGGTCACAAATTGCCGCCTCGAGTGACAGCTACAGCTCCATCCAACCCGTCTTTAATTAAAGCTCAATCGAGGCAACCTCTTTGGTTGGAAAATCAATCAAATTCCTGTATATATTATCGAACCAATTACAGTGCAATCCGTGGCGTAGAATTCCTGATCCGATGTCATCTCGCCAGCCAACCACTCCTCCACTCGAGACGGGCCACCGCACAGTTTCCCCTTCGAGGATGCTTGACTTGGCTTCGCCTTTCGCTTGGCATACTTAAAACTAACAGGCGAAATCAATGGACGAGGGGGACTGGGGCTGCAAAAATATGAATAAGCTGAGCCCTGCCAGAGTGTTGGATATTTCGAATTTGAGTCGTTTGCTCGTTTGCTAAAAAATCATAGCCAAATGCAAACACCAAACCGAACCATTCCAAACCAATAAACATTGAGAAAATTAAGTATTCAGTTAAATGAAATGTTTTAAAATACGTGAATAACTTATTTGGAATTCAGTTAGGGTCCTTTATTAAAGCCAAGAATTATAAAGAAAGATTTGATTATTTATTACTTTATTTTCTTAATAACTTCTGAAAAAGTTGTTTGCTTGAACAATTTTCAGTAGCTGGCCTAAAACATATTTCAAGTGCACAAATTAAAGCTTTGTAAAGAATCTGAGTCCGTTTTAATTCAAAAATGTTGTCTTCGAGTTTAGTTTGTCTCATTTCGCTCAGTGCACCGATGGGAACCCCCAAACAACTATTATTGATGCAGGGACCTGTCTGTGGGGGTGAGTAGATGGGTAGGTAGGTGGCCGGATCGTTACATAAAATGCATGAAAATCTCGATTCGGCTAAGAGCAAAAAGAAAAGCGAGCCAAAACCGTGCGGAGGAAGAGCAGAAGGGAAACAAATTGAAGCTTTAGCCACGACTGACAAACTGCAGCTGTAACGGCCAAATGTTTTTGGCCACTTTATTTTTCATTTTCGCTTCGTTTTCGTTGTCAAGCGGATGGGACGCAGCTTAACAATTTTTATGGCGACATCCCATCGAGAGAGGGGCTGCAAAATATGGCTGCAGCCATGGGTTAAGCGGCTTAATTGCTCTGGTAAGGTCAATTCGGGGATGCAAAGCCCTCGAAAAGGAAAACTATTTCCATGGCATGTGCCGGCGGGCAAGGCGGATCGGGTTGAGCCACGAAGAAATTTACATAATAACAGGAAACAATTTCGCCTGTGTGCGAGTGCGTGCCCTATGCGACCATTAGGGGTCCCATCTGACCCCGGTCATTGGCATCGGCTTGGGGCCCAAAACTATGCACCGGAAAACGATGTGTTAGTTTGACAAAATGCACCATGAATGCAAATCGCAAAGGGGCAAACAGAAAAATAATAAATGGATAATTTGGGAGGATTTTAGGCAATCCAATTTTTGGGTTTCACTTTTATTTTATTCTTTTAAGCCGTTAAAAAAATGTTCGGTCAAGTCTTAATTTTTTTATTTGTTTTTAATTTTTAATTTCTTATCCCAATACTCTTAAAATATTATTACCCAAATCTCGATCAATCAAATTAATTTAAAAAAATATATATTTTAAATATACATACGTTAAAAAAATATATTTTTAAAAATTAACGAGGAACTCTTATATTTTCTTTTAAACAAATCATATTTTCTATGTAATAGTTATTTATTTAAAATCTATTAAGTATATAAGTAAAACTGAAAGTACTTTAAAACAATTACCAAGGAAGAAAATAGGATAAAAAGCCTTTGAATTTGTCAGGGGAAATTAGTCCCCGGCTACAGCTTATAAAGGACAATATATGTATATCATGCTTAAGTCC